CCGCCGCCATGTCGTGAAGGCGCTGTGTGTTTCGTTGTGAAAGCGAAACTACTTTGTTTGGCCTTCCAAGAGAGGGTACAACTAGAAATCAGTGGTTAAGTTGTATTTACAACACTGTTCCAGAACACTTCAACCCAAATATTCATGTGTGTGCAGCGCATTTAATGGAGGACTGTTTCCTGAACCTACAATGCCGGCTGGTCTGACTCACAACCTGTAAGTATGTTTTCATATTTAAAGAATTTGCCACTGATGATTCAAACGCGAGTTTTGGGCAGTGTAGAGTAGCGCTTGTTGTTTGTCGTTTCTCCGATCACAAATGCAGACAAATGGTTTTATGTTTACGCGGCGCGATACGCAATGCAACGCATCGCGTAAAACGACAATATAAGTCATTATAATCCATAATTATGTCCCCACTGGATGCAACAAATGCCTCGTTTATAATGGGTTTTATTGTTTTTGTCTCGTCGCGCCGGGACACGGCATCATAGTATGGTAAGGGGCATAACATTTCCGTCACACGCTTGAGGTATTCGGCCAATCACAACGCACTGGATAGCTGGCCAATCAGAGCACACCTCACTTTTCAGACCGATGAGCTTTGTAAAAATCGGGCATAGAGGAGGAAAATAATGTGTTTTTTTAACCTTAAACCACATAAACACATTGCATTACACCAAATACACAAAATAATGTTATTTTTAACAACATCTTATGACCCCTTTAAGATTGATTCCTGTTGTGAAGCCAATAGATTAGTTGTGATGCCAATAGCTTAGTTGTGATGTCAGTTTGTTGGCCAAACCAGCTAATTTGAGTTGGGAATTTCCTACTGGGTTTTACATTTACATTTATGCATTTAGCAGATGCTTTTATCCAAAGTGACTTACAAAAGAAAAAAAGTTTTTAGATTGATTTACACATGAATCTTACATGGGTCATAATTATGGTTTATTATTTTATATTTTTTTGGTAAAATATAGTAAAATGTCTGTGGTTAACATTATTTGAAGAGACTTTCATGTTTTGTGTCATACCTAAAATAGTGTAAAAAAAAAAAATCAACAAAAAGGTGTTAATAAAACATAATATTGGAGTATGTTCATCTGCAAATTTCAGCCATTTTACTAGTTTACTTGTGTTACTTGCTTTTTCTTTGTAAAATTTACTAGATTTTTCTGGGTGAACTTTTTTTTTTCTCCATGCAGTCATTCCTCATATGTATTATGGAGCCACTGTGTTTTTAAAAATATAACTTGTTAAACAAAAGCTACAACTACCACAAAGGATGTTAATGTCAAGCTATGTGCTTGACAAATCGGACAGTCCTTATGTAGCAAATTGGTGTTCCTTATGTAGCAATTTCATAGCAACTTGATTTTAAACCACACAGCAATTTCAGAATTCAAAACTTTCCGTACCCACTGTATATATATATATATATATAAAAAGATTTCTGTTTCAAATAAATGCTGTTTTTTTTTACTTTTTTGAAAAGCTCTATCATCTATCTATCTATCTATCTATCTATCTGTCTGTCTGTCTGTCTGTCTGTCTGTCTATTCACACACACACACACACACGTGTGTGTGTGTGTGTGTGTGTGTGTGTTTTTAAGTCATAATGTCTCATAATGTCTATACATTTTTTTTCAAATACAACATTCCCGGTTTAAATTTGATTTTGGATCCCAGATTTTCCATGTGGACTTTTGCGGCCCTCTGTAGATCACTATTGTTCTTGATTTTATTGCTTGTCGTTTGTGGTTAATTTATTTCATAAAGCCAGCAAAAGCATTTACGGCATGTGGCGAGGACAAAATAAAGGCACATTCGTGAGGAGGGAGTGGGCGCACGACGCTTTTGTCTTAAGACCCGAACCGGAATCTCAGATATGTTGTTTTAACATCTGCGAGACAGGAAAACAGAATATGAAACGCCGGTTCACGACTCTGAATGGGAGCCCCAGCTGCTTGGCCCTAATAAGAAATGGTGGGGAAGCATTTCCATCCAGAGCCGAGCGGAATAACAGCCCTTCCCATAATGCTCCATTATACAGCCGGAGGAGAGGAAGGATACGTCGAAGTTCCTCAGCAGCTGAACAGACGGAGAGACACGCTCGTACAGTACAGCTGTAGCTTTTTCTTCATTATCTTCTCTTTCTCCTCTTTCAATGCTTGTTTCTTTCCCTCGGAGAAAGAAATTTGTTGTCTTTGTGCATTTTTTTGAAAGACCCCATTTTTTTTTGTGTGCGTTTCCTTGAGAAAGATGGAGTTCAAGTGACACACGGAAAACATTACTGTCTTTGAGAGAGCTGAACGAAGCTTCAGTCCTCAGCACAAGAATATTTTTAAATCCTTATCAGTACTATTCAGAAAAATAACATGATAAAATGTTCTCGTGCTCCAGGCATCGTAGAGCGGTGTAGGCAGGAATTAGCCATGCAGATAGCGGTATTAATTTCACCAGCGTTACGCAGCTCAATGATGTGTGCGATGACCTCATCTTTATGATATGATGGATAAATATAGATATATGGATGTTTCTTCAACTACTCCTCTTTTTTAAATTAAAACTGTTTATTTTTATTTTTTTTACATTTAATTTATTACCTTATTGAATTGCCAAATTTAAGGTATTAATGATTAATAATAAAAGTTAAA